GCCCAACCAGAATGCAGCTGCAGAAAGCACTCTCTTGCTTGTAACAGGCCAGACCGATCCCACCTCTTACTCTCTCCTCTGGTTTCATTTCTGCGTCATATCAAACAGAAGCTCCTTGTCTTTACTTGCGTGGCCTGTAATGACCTATTTCCACCCTTTTATTCTCTCGTATTCTCTAGTGACAGATCAACTCATCCTTCCTGTCTGCAGGTGTCTGTGTTCAATCTTCAAGCGCTTACATTCCCTTTTGTGCTGTCTGTGTCCTTTCCTCAGAAGCATCCCATTAAACTTCCTTCAAACTCCCTCCGGATCCTCTTTCAAATTCCTCCTTAACCTTTTTCTTTGCTGAGCTGTCTACGAGACTCCTTGTCGATACTAAAACATTTAGAGTGCTGAGACCACGATTTTCCTTGCTGACCGATTTTGTCTGATTGCTTTTTTTGTGTTTCCTATCTCTCCCCAGTTGTTATTACTTGTATGAGGTTGTAAGCTCCTGCAGTCGGGCCCTTCTTTGTATTCTGCGTTTGTCCAAAACCCAGCGCAACGGGGCCGTTCCACGATCTGAGCAGCCAGGATCTGCGGTGGTACAAGCCAAAAACATGTAATGATAGTGATAAAATAATGAGAAGTTAGAACATAGCATCATGTGCAACGTGAGCTCCTCTCCTCCCTTCCCCCTCTTCCTTCAGATTCACCGTATTTCAAATTTTTTGTACAACAGAAGACAGTAAATGAGGAGGTTTCAGGGTACAGTATAGGAGCTGATGTTTCTTTTCAGCTGCTGAAGTGTTTCCCTGTGATATGCTCAGTAACGGGGGCATTTCCAGCAGTTTCAGCAGGGAAGCATCTGTGAGCACCTCTGTGTGTCCCGCAAGGTGTGACCACCACGGGGCAGCCAGGAGAGGCTGAGGTAAGGTCACGGCCAAGGGTAGGAGCCTCTTCCATGCAGAAATAGAGGACTCCAGTCTCTGCTGCTGACATATCCCCTTCTAGTTTTGCTGAAACAATCTTGGAAAAGGACCTAAAAGGGCTGAAGGAGCAAAAGAAGAATGTTGAAATGACATAGTTTCATCTTGGTGCAGTTTAGTACTAATTTTGTCCTTTGTCTTTAAGCTGCCTTTTAAGTGCTGTTTGTCTCTGTGGGAAGCAAATGGGTCACGTTGTTCTATGTTTCTACTGTAATACGCTGCCTGCTATTTTTCTCTTAGATTATTTGTGTAATCTTTTTTGTGCAATCTGTTTGTTCTTGAGTCTTGCAAGCTTTGCCTTTGCTACTTCTTTCCCAATAAGCAGCGCAACTCGTTCTGTATTCACTCGTGGGCATTCGGCACACAGCGGGCTGGGCTATTTCAACCAGTGTGAAAATATTAAAATGGGGAACATGTGTGGGCACTTAATTGCGGCGAGCCCGACCACAAATACCTTCGCCGTTGGTAATTGGCACGCAGGAAAAGCAGACCTTTGTTTTGTTTTTATCAGACATAATGATAGATACATTGTTTGAGTGGTGTTTTTCTGGTTTTCTAAGGAAATGAGGCTTGTGCAATCGCACCGCCTGTGTGCATGTGCCTGTTTGCTGGTTCCTCCCTCACCGATAATTCTTGAAACCGATAGCCATTTTCAGACAAATCTGGGCAAGGGGGAGGTGACCTGGTTTTACACAAATCTTGTGAGTTCAGAGGTTGCACTAAAATCTACAGAATTTGCAGCCTTTACTGCTGCAAGCCAGATCGGCCGTGCATTTGCCCTCATGCCTGTCTGTGGATCCAGCCACCTAACTGTAAGGTCCCAGATTTGAATATTTTGGTTTACTTGCTCTTACCCTTCGGGTGAGTGAGTCAGCTGGGGGCGGTGCGAGGCACAGCGCTTGTGTTTTGATTCTCACCGGAGTGGCCATGGCTCATGAAAAACATGGTTTGCTCCAGGCCACAGTGTTAACGATTTGCATATAAACTCTTGAAAAAGGAAGCTTTCTTGAAGCTTTCCTGGGCGAGAATTCACAGGAGCATTTCTGTCTGTGTACATAATAGCAGAAGCTGGATTTCTCATAAAAGTAGATCAGTGAAGTCTGACACTGCCTGAATGGGAATCTTCTGTGGAAAAAAACCCAACAAGAGGAAGGAAAGCCTAAGGAAATGCCAACTTCAAGAGGAGAAGTTGGCCAGGACCTGTGTTGTGCTGCTCTTTGGTTTGTACCTGGCCACCAGCAGTGAGGTTGGGGAATGCCTCAGAGCCATGCAGGAATGTGGCCTCAGGGCACCTTTGGGAGGCAGAGAAGATGCTTTATGCCCTCTGCTCAAAGACAGGCCCGGGGTACCAAAGCACCGAGTGATACGTCAAATATTCAAGTTAGGAAACAGACCCAGGTCTCCCGACACAACAGTTACAGACAGAAGTAAGGTCTCCATACAGACAGCTTCTCCAGCAAATGGAGAGATGCCTTGGTCAAAGAGGAAGATAAACGCTGAAGTATACAAGAGCTGGGTAAATTGTGAGAAGAGGAGGAGAAGAAAAGATTCCCCCATGTTCTACTCAGATTTTAACAAAGAAAGCTGAGAAGTGTTTGCATAGACATTACATTATTCTGTGTCCAAATGCCTCATAAAAATAATACCGGATGATCACAGAATGGCACACCAGGGAAAATAAATTCTTCAGCGGAATATTCCCTCTGGAAAAACACTGTGTAAAGTAATACACTAATGGCTTTCAATTTCATGTTTTATATATAGAGATATTAACTGCTCCCCAGATGTCTCTTCATATTACAGCCCAGCTCCACCAGCAGCATGGAGAAGCCCCGGAGCGCTCTGTCTTGTCCACACACAGGACCAAGCAGTGCTCTCCTGTCACAGCTCCTGTGTTGGAGGCAGTGGTTTCTTCTCCCTCTTTCCCAGGGCACTGCTGCTCCTGTGAGTTTCTCTACTGGGATCTTTTTCTCCTTCTTCCTAATCCTCATGGTTTTTTTCCATTCCTCATTTGTGTTCCATAGCTGCACCACTGTGCTGGGAGCCCTGCATTCCTCCTCTGCTCGTAAAAAACCATTCCTCACAACGAGCGTTCAAGTGCAGCACTGTCAGTCAAAACACTAATAACAAATACTAAAGAAAGCTAAGTTTAAAAACAATATTATCAGTTCCTTTTTGGGGAGTTTCCAGGCTTGTCTGGATTTATGTGATGACTTCTTTCTCCACGTTGCTCAGCTGTTTGAGTCAGGAACTGTCTGTCCTGTTTAATGCCAACTACGGTTATGCCGTTGGAGCAAATCAGAACGATCTGGGTTCTTTTCCAGGCTTTCCTAATATATCTCAAATGTGTATATATATCAGCCTGCCGCATCCTGAGGGATCCAAAAGCAGCTTAGGTGCTTTGTTCCCTGGATGTCAACGGACACAAACTGGAACACAGGAGGTTCCACTTAAATTTGAGAAGAAACTTCTTCTCAGTGAGGGTGACAGAGCACTGGAACAGGCTGCCCAGAGAGGTTGTGGAGTCTCCTTCTCTGGAGATGTTCAAAACCCGCCTGGACGCCTTCCTGTGCAACCTCATCTGGGTGTTCCTGCTCTGGCAGGGGGATTGGACTGGATGAGCTTTTGAGGTCCCTTCCAATCCCTAACGTTCTGTGATTCTGTGATTCTGTGATGTAGCCTATTGGAGTCTGGGACAGGCAGGGAGGAAGCCGTGAGTGCAGGGACGTTGCTGGTGCGCCGTGCAAGGACAGCAGCCCTGCTGTAGGGATGACAGCACGTGTCCAAGGCCTTTTAGGAAATGTTGCAGGATTTGTTTGAAAAGGCCAATAAACACAGACCATAGTTTAAGAGAATGTCATATCAGTGCTGGATTATTTAATTGTTATTAGGGACATATTATTTGTATGTGCTTTTATGAGTGGTTCTGGTTTGAACTCAGACTGCCTTCCTGCTTGCACCTCACTCTCGCCTGCCTTCCCCTCCTTCACCCCCTCAGCGACCACACCATTGCACCCATAGAGCCTTGAAGGTGCAGGGTGGTGCAGGGTTCTAAGACTGGGGCAGCACAAGTATTCCCTGGATAGTTGTGTAGAGTACTGGAGAATACCATTTGGAGTGGGACAAACCCCCAGACCGTAGCTGCTCTGTAAGCCTTCAGTGGGGCTCTCCTGTGTAGGGTGGCTGAGGTTGTCCTAAATACCTTCCATGGCTCTGTGCGTGAATTATTTCCAACACTGATTGCTGGGATCAGACCTGCATGGGATATACGTGCAGATTTTTGGTGCGTTATGTATTCTTATATGTGGCATTAGGGACTTTTTTCAGAAACAGAGCTGTTAGGGCTTGTGTTTACTTAGAGTCCTTACGGGCACCTTCTGATACACCTTTCTTGACGTACGGTAAGAATAAAGTTTCTTGAGGAATAGTTTCTGTGCTTTAAATAGGCACAGTATCTTAATCCATATTAATCTTCAAATGGAAAAAAAGTCAATTTTCCATGTAAGAGATAATCTCACACTCTTTGTAATCGCTTGGTTTTTAGCTACAACGTTTTTATTTAAAACATCAGCTAGCTCAGCATCAGCATGTCAGCAAGAGCATGAGGATTGATACTGCTACACTGGCAAAAGCCTAAAAAGTGAAATCCTTTTGCCAGTGTAATTGGCTCCATTGAGGGAATTGGTTTAAGCTGTACTCTTTAAATGGCAACAAGTGCACTGCCACCAAGCAGCTTTATGAAGCCTCTCACCGCAAAACCCTTTCATGTGGAGGCAAGGCTTTAGGCACAGGTTTATCCCATCTCATTGAGGGGCTGAGGATGCCTATATAGCTGGGTTAGATGTCAGCTGGATGGTTTGTATCTGGGGCTCTTCATGATGAGCAGTGGCTAGCAGCAGCAGAACTGGTACCAGTGCAGGCTTGGGAGCCAGTTTGAAGCCTCTCCAGATCTTCTCCCATGGGCCAGGAGAGGATCTCTGCAGTGGGGACCAGGAGCTTGCTTTGACTCGTGTCCTTTCCCTTTGGTTGCAGGGCGCTGTGCCCGCTGCGGGGAGAACGTGGTTGGGGAAGGCACCGGCTGCACAGCCATGGACCAGGTCTTCCACGTGGAGTGCTTCACCTGCATGATGTGCAACAGCAAGCTGAGGGGACAGCCTTTCTACGCCGTGGAGAAGAAAGCCTACTGCGAGCCCTGCTATATCGTAAGTACCTACTTGTGGTTGTATCCTGGTTTTAATGCACTAACACTGGGAACATTGTGATGCCTATTAAGATGGAGGAGGTGGGATGCAAGATAGCGCTAAAATTTCTCAAATCAACACCTTCTCATTGCTCGATGGAAGTCCTACTGAACCAAGAGTCTTTGGGTTGTGTATCTTTTGAAGCTTACTTTTCCCTAAAATTTCATTTCGTGCCTCCAACAAGCTCTTAAAGCAAACAAGTTACAGTTGCTCTGGGGAGCTGCACCTTTTAAGAGGCTTCCATAGGAGCAAGTTGGAACCAGTTGCACAGTTGCAAATCAAAGAAGCATCTCATAACGTGCCTGAGGCCTCACCTTGCTGCGACCTTAGCATACGGTATATAGGGATAATTTTGTAACTTAGCATAAGGAAAGCACCAAAACATTCTTAAAGCATTGGTAGGTTCTTCTCTGACTCTCCAATTCAGAGCTGTTTTTATAAACACTGGACATGAGACCCTTCCAGAATCCGATTTGCACTTCTGAAAGCAAAAATGAATGCTTTTCTTGACATTTTTGGCATTCAAATAATAATTAAAGCAATACTATGTGTTTCTGAAAATGCCACCAATATCCCATTATTCTTTCTGTTTCTGCAGAGCCTTTGCAGTGGGATTATTGCTGAAATACTGACTATAAAAAGAGAGGATTCTGTCTTATTTACAATGACAGTGATACATGGGCCTTGTTAATTGGCTTTTAAAAACTAAATGATCTTTTGATGGAATATGTACCTTTTAAACCGTTTCCATTTTTGTTTGCCCTAAAATGATTGCACCATAAAAAATTTAAGGCTAATTTCATGGCGAGTTTGACCACGTGCAAAGTACTGCAGACTTTAGGAAAGGTGCATTCATAATATGATTGGAGCAAATTTATGTAACTGGAATTAAACATTTCACTGACTCCAGGCTGGAATTGACTTCATCTGCTTACAGATTGGTACTTTCTTTTCCTCTTTTTTTAAATCAAGCACGCATTCTTCACCACTCATCTGCTTTAGTTTGGGAAAACATCTGCATTAGCCACTGTAGTAATGGTTTAAGATTATTTAATCCCATTACTTATACACATCATTAGCTTGAGTGAATTGTTGGCAGGGGTTCAGTAAACTTCCTACATTGGGAGATAAAAGGATAAAAAAGGAAAGGGAGAAGGATTCTGTTCCTCATTTTCTTTCAAATTTATCTTCTATCTGTGTAAGGGATAAAGGAATGATAATTGCCTGGTTGCATCTGCGTTTGTACATTCTGTGATATGGCTTTGCAGCTCTGAGTACAGAGGAAAGAGTAAATGTTTAATAGCTTTCTTTTATATAACCAGAAGGGGCCTTTAAATGTTTATCCATGCGGTCGACAAAAACCTTGTTATGGACTTAACCCAAAACACGTCCGGATCCATCTGCTGCCGCTCATGCAGGGGAAGGGATGGCGACGCTGACAGGGCTATGTGTGGGTAGCTGGGCAGCTGGTCCTGTGAGTGGGAAATGGGAAGCAGAATTCTGACACCCTGATGCAGGAAAATAGTAATAATAAGAACTTAAAAAACCCCACAACACCCATTAAACTGTTAAATGGGGAAGGAACAAGTGTTTGGAGCCCAAGTCTTGATACCATGCAGAAAGCTCAGAGCTCTGTTGTGCCAAAAGCCAGCTCTACAAGGGATCTAGGTACCTGCTGTGCTGTTGGCTTTAGGCCTGAGGAATTGATGTTGTAAACCTTGTGTTGCATTGATTTTTCAGTGTAATGAGGTCTGCATTGGCTTCAGTAGGATGATGAGTGCCCAAGTACACCAAGGGCCTGAGCTGGGCTTGCAAATGGATTGGGGGCCCTTAAGTTGCTGAGGCGCAACCTGAATGCTTTTGCCTTTCGATGTGTGATAGGGTTGTACTGAGGTCAAGGAGGGTTGATGACCTGCTTAAAATCCAGCCTGTGGTTAAGGATTTTGCTGAGTTGTGGCCTCAAATTTTTTTTGGAGCTTCCCCAAGTCCCATTATCAGAAAATAACTTGGACACTTGGAGCCCAAGTTGTGTAGGAAATCAGTGGGACTGAAGAGCCCAAACTCAGATTCCTGTGGACCTGAAATCTTCGGAAAGTTGGAGCCTGTGCCCAGCCCAGGATTGCACAGATAATCCATGATAAAACAGGGTTTTCAGCTGGTATAAATCTGAGTAATTCAATGAAGATTGGTTATTGGTCTGCCTAATTCACACTGGTTTCTAGCACACATCCCCATTTCCCCAGGTTCAAAACCCTTGACTTATTATGCAAGCCATGAGGCCAAGCCACTTCATTTATGTAAAGAAAATGAACTATAATATTTGCCTGGTTGTGATATATAAATAATTCTTTACCTTTTTAAATAATTCCCTTCTGTGACTTGTGGCTGCACACACATGTGTGCAAAAATAAAAATACACGTTTTTCAGCAGTTAGAGTTGGCTAATCTTCTGGGTTCATTATGTGACTCTCCTTAGTTGTGGTGGAGTGAGGCCATAATTAAGATTACTGTGAAGAGCTGTTTTTAATTACTTGTTAGTCAATACCAAGCCCAAATAGCCTGCAGAAGGGTTGTTTCTTGTTTTTGTTTATGGCTTTATTTATCAGTGACCCAGTTAAGATGAAACTGCCCAGAAGTATGAATTAACATGTAAGGAGATCAACCACCTGTCTAAAAAGATCTTTTTCCTAATGGGAATTTGAGTATCAGAGTTAACTTCTTTCACACACAAATCCCTCCACCCAAAAGCCAGGCACAGTCGTTTCCTGTTACATCTTATGAATGCACTGAATTCTGTTGCCAATGTGTTCGCTGGTTTTGCTCCGCATCCAAGGATTCTTTCATTATTAATGTTATTTCTAAAAGAGTACCAGTCTTCCCCATTAAGACACTTCTGCTGAGCTAAAAGCAACTGTAAAAAATAAAGCGTTAATAGGAGACAGATGTCTCCCAGTCATCCTGACAGTCAAGTAACATCTGAAATAGCATGATAGGATTTCCAGTGTAACCAGTGTACATGAGACGAACGCTGTGGCTGCAGTATGTTATCAGTATACTTTTCCTCTCCTTTCCAGGGCAAAAAATAAAACTGTTTGGTTTACTTCCCCTAAATAGCTGAAGAGATTTTAGCACCGGACTCAGTGCAGAAAAAAGGTTAAGAGTAACATCAGTGGAACGGTTGTTATAAAAGATTGAAGAGCAAGATGTTCGAGCCATGCCAGCTGTCTGCTTTCCAAAGACCCTATTATCATAAGGGCTGCACACAAGGTTAACCAGACACACTGCTCTGCTGCTGTTTTGTGAATGGGATGTTCTCTGATGTCCTGATGACTTTCTCTGGGACGTGGACGTTTTCCTCCGTTCTTTGTCCGTTGGTTGGCAGTTGGAGATAAACTCTTGGAGGCTGAAGGCTCTGTGCAGAAAAGCAGTGAGATCTTGCAGATAGTCCCGGCCTCTGAGGGTTTCTTCAGTGTGAGCCACCCCTGGGCCCATGGTGTGATGGGAAAGGGTACAGGGAAGCAGAAATAACTGATCGAGCAAAGCAGAAATAGCCAGAGTCGGATGAAAAGAAAGTTCAGAGAAGTGGTGGGCTGGAAATGGTGAGAGGTTGAAGGGAAGAAACTGTGTTATGTGTCTGTCTGCCTGGAGTGGAGGAAAATGTTGGGTATGCTCTGCAGTGCCCCATGGAGACCCATGGGTCCAGGTTTCCTGTTTCTATTGCGAGATACCGAGGATGTGACCTTAAACCCTACCCCAAAGATCCCTTAAAAGGAATTTGTAGGGTGAGGTTCACCTCTCCATAGCACTAAAGGTGTGGAAGTGCTTGAATGGGGAAGAGGGGAAGAGTTGTGTGTGGAAGCCACGTCCTGATCACTGCCATTCCCCAGCTTTAAACTCAGGATTTAGTGCTTCACATTCCCCCTCTCCCCAGTTACCTGTTTTGTGAGAAAAAGACCCCATACCCTCAATGTTTCTCTCTCTTACCAGCTTCTAACTTGCTATCAGAGGATGTAGTTCAGTAGGAGAAGAGATACCAGAACACACAAGAAGTGCTGATGATTTAGGAGGTGGCATGACCAGAGCCACTGGTGGCACAGAGCATCCTGGGAAAGCTTACGTTTTCTAATTATTCTGAAATGTAGGTGTTGACTCGATTTGTGCTCCCCAAAATCTCTGGTAAAACAGCTATCGACTTCAGTGCGACTGGGATTGTAAACCTCGCCCCGTGTGTGCACGTGGCTGCTGGAAAGCGGTGCAGGAGCAGCTACCTCTGGCGCACACAGTTTAAAGTGTAAGGTTGATCCCTGCAGTAAAATTACATCTATTTTTAAAAATAATTCTGCCATTTGTAAGCAGAGATTACAGCACTAATTTAGCAACCATGTAACAATTTAAATTGGACCAGAAAAGAGAAACTATAATTTAAAGATTTTTTTTTTATGATACAAGTTTTCTTCTTTTTAAAGTAAAAAGCCCTTTATTCTTGTTTTTGTCAAGCAACGTATTGAATTTGAGAGTAATTTATGGAAAGTGCTGCCAGCATGGTATTGCGAGTGCTCCACAATTTGAATTTAAACTGCTCAATGGGATCATTAAGACTATTATGCCTGCTTTCCAAAGAGTTTGAATTCAAAATGACAACTGGAACAAAAATATAAAATAAACTAAAGAGAAGTCACGCACGCTTTACGTGGTGGAATTTTTCTGCCCTCAAAATATTTCATTGAGATCAATGCTCTTCTTCAATCCTCTCCTAGGAAAATAAGAAAAAAACCGCTGGTGTTGCCAGTTTTAGGCTGGTGCTCCTGTGTGAGTCATCGGCAGCAGGGAGCTGAACCTGTGACCCGTCATCTGAAAACAGTAAATTTTGGCTGCTGTAGCAGGGAGATGCAGCGGGATCCTGCCCCAGATATTTCTTGCCCTCGGTGGAAGAATTCTGTGAGCACCGCGGCCGTGAAATG